GAAAAAGAAAAAGAAAAAGAAAAAGAAAAAGAAAAAGAAAAAGAAAAAGAAAAAGAAAGCACTGACTGAAAATTATGCAATTTCAAAGGATAAGAAATACAGTTCTGTAGATCCAGTGAGGGCAGTAGGGGCATCTTCTGTTTAATCTAAGTTGACTTTTCTCTCTGTGTTGTAAATCACACCTGATCCTGAGAAGAGCTGAGGTTTCATCCTCTCCTGTTCCTGGCAAAATTAATGGAAGTTATCCTGTTGTATTATGAGGGTTTGTGAGCTTCAACTGTATTGTATGCTCCAAAATAACTTAACTGGCACTGAAGACACTGGATCCCTGGTATCCCAGAAGAGTTACATTGCTGTGCACTCTTTATCTACTTTATATCTTGGACTAAGCCTCCTGTTTCATCCCTCAGTAAATATCTAAACCCCTATCTGCTGTGAAATGAAATAAAATAAACATTGAACTACATGAATCATGACATATTTTTATAGAATGACTGTTCTAAAAAGGAAGAAAAAGAACTTTGCTTTTACCCTGATATTACCAATACCTGATGTTGGAAGGTCTTAGTGCTCAGATCACCGGTCAAGCCTGAGTATCTCCTAGAGCAGGATGCTTGCAGGTAATCAAGAAATTAATTACAATGCTATTAGGGAAACATTGTAACTCTAACTTCTTTGCTAAGGTGATAAATAAACACCAGAATTTTAGAGTCCTTTTTTAAGAATGTCACTGGGAGAAAATATAAGAGTGGGTGGCAACAGGAAGACAAAACTTACAAATTTTTTATCATTATTTCCTCTGTCTTTTTAAAAACCTCATCTTTCTGCATTTTGGGTTCTTCACAGTCTATTAAAAGCTGCTTTTGGACTTGGGGAAGAAGGAGTTTGCATTTTTGTCCACGGATCCAACTCCATGGCCACTGTGCTGTTTCTGAGCTGAATCTTAAGCAGTAAGAAGCACCACAAGGTGGGACGCTGCTAAAATCTGTGGTAATCCCAGTATTTGGGATCAAATCTCATGGGACCTGGTGAAGGGAAGGGGGAAGTGAAAAGAACATCTGCTCTAGTTTATATTTAATCATGGCCCAAATGACTGCTTGTCTACAGGGCTCTTTTAGAGTATTTCCCATGGCATGGGTTATTCAGAAGTAGGCAGCACACAACACAATTTTAATTCCTAATTTATCCAGTCAGTCACTAAGTCTTCCAACTTCTATTTTTAAAAACCTCCAACACTCTCACTAATTAGGACTTTCTTCTACTTCCAGCTGTTAATGGGCAAAAAAATGGCCAATTTGAAATATGTCTAATCAGAGCACTGCCTGATTTTGTCCTCATACAACAGCTATTACCCTAAGGGACAAATTATGTCTTCAATTGCACAAACTCATCCTGTTCAGCAACAACTTGACAGTTCATCCATCAGAGGGAAAATATATATTGCAATTAGCTGCACAGGTTACATATTTATTCCTTTTTTTCTTAACCTTTATTTATTTTGCATATATGAATATACATGTGCAATTATTTATTTATTGTGAATTTGGTTTGTAGTTTATTTTTTACTCTAGCAGTGCTGTTTTCTTTAAGACACTTCCCTTTATATCTGTGTACAAGCTTAACAGGAACCTTGAAGAAAACCACTCTATTTAAACATGTTTCACAGAACATATACACATGAACCCAAGCTACTCTGTAGTTGCAAATTAATCTCAGAATAACTGTGTTTATTGACTTTTAAAGTTTGATAATCTCTCCAGTATCATCACAGGCTTAAGGTCCTCTGCCACAAAATTGTGCACCATCTCTTGTGGAGGTGCAGATTAAGCTTCATAGACTGCTCAGGCTAAGAGGACAGAGATAACAGCCAGGGTGGTGTGTGGATTATCCTCAGACCATTAATCCTGCCTGTATTGTGGTTAAATGACATTTTACAGCAGCAGAAGGATGTATTTTGGAGGAAGTGGTAGGGAAGGAGAAAGGAAAGCACCAGGGCTCACTTGTGGGTGGAGGTTGGGAAGGAGGGTTTGGAGCATTTGTGGTCTAAGGAAAGGTGCTGGAGGCACAAGTTATCCCTAAAATGAAGGTGTGGAGAAGGAAAGGCAGGGTTGGCTTGTTTTGATCAATACTTATGCAAGAAACCCCATTTCACCTCTTATCTCAGTGTCTGCTGCTACTCTTTTACTTGTTATGGACCATTAATTGGTGAAATTTCTAATGCCTTCACAGAGGAAGGGAATGAGAAAACCAGTGCTTGGAGTTTGAATTTCTAGCAATTCAAAAGCTGATTTCAAAATATGTTGCATTAGGGTGGCAAAAGCTGCTGAAAATGAGGGCAAACTGACTATCAGTTAACTTAGAGCCGTGTTCAGTGAAAGAAAGCTGAATGTAAACTCCTCACACCAAAGTTGACAATAACTAACACTTCACAGGCATTTAATTGCAATGTTCCCTTTTGTCTAGCTTTTGCCCTAGTGTTTTCCTAACACTGAACTACTTCTTACATCACCAAATTCAGCTTTCTAATCATTGTGATA